CCCTGCACACTGTCCTCATCCTGCCATCTCCCTGCACACTGTCCTCATCCTGCCATCTTCCTGCTGCCTGCACACTGTCCTCATCCTGCCATCTTCCTGCTGCCTGCTCGCTGTCCTCATCCTGCCATCTTCCTGCTGCCTGCTCGCTGTCCTCATCCTGCCATCTTCCTGCTCCTTTGCCTCTCTTGCCTTCTGCTGACCACCACTTTCCTTCATACACATTAACAGTTTGCAAAACTGCACCTGTACATTTAGTGTAATGTTCTGTAGCTCTTAACACTAATACTTACTACTTACTCTTCTTTTACCACCAAAAAATTGTCTGATGTCTCCATCTTTCCTTTTCCTCATAGTGTGTCTGTGAATAAAATTTAATCTATGTTTAACAAAACAGTATCTGGGCTATCAGATGAAGCTTCTAAAAATGTCTATAAATATGAAATTGTTGAGTGCCGAATCAATACCACTAAAATTCAAATAATAGGGCTTATTATTTGCTAGCTAGTTTTTTACGTTGCCCCTATAGGTTTCACTTATAGTAATGTGTTTTCTGAGCATAACGTTAGACCTTCTTATGCATTAACAAACCACACAGGCTAAGTGGCGAATTAATTTCAGAAAGGGACAATTTATTCGTGATAAAATGAGAATGAAAACATAGGGAGATCATCTTGGAACATGACCATGGTCAATTTTACCTCACCAAATAAGCTTGGTTTAAATAGAGAACTTAGCTTATCTTGCTAGTTAACGTAACTAACGTTGACTGTACCGGTGTTCTGTCAAGGTAAGCTATGGTTAGGGCTATGGATTAGCACTACGGTAGCTTATCTCGACAAAGTAGCTCAACTCGACAGAACACTGGCCTCAGAAGGACAATGGTAAGTAATTCAACTTATAAAGACGTCAGTTGCATTAAGTAGATGAAACACTTAAACGAATAAATGAAGGTTGTAAAATAACACACTTTCAACAGGCAAGACTTCTGCTGGCTACTTACAATTACCAACGCACGACAAATAGTACCATGACAGACGAAGACAATGAACAGGTCACTCAATAAGAATGAATGACGCAAACGACTGGCTGCTTCTAGCGCCGAGGTGGTTAAAATGGTACGGTCCACATCAGGGGTGTCTGAAATCATTTTGCATAACCTCACCTTGTAGGATTTTTTTTATAATTTTTTTTTTTACAACAAAAGAAAAATGTTAAGACCCCCCCCCCCCCCAAACTGCAATTTTTGTCTCTTTGGGGGGGGTTTGGGTCTTGATCGGGGGGTACAGTACCCCCCATAATTCGAACCATGCCCTTTAGGGACATGCTTGGCTCCTGTGGGATGCCTGGCC